GCTTTTCATACTCACATGTATTATAAATGTTCATAGGTCAACTTTTTATTCCAAGTTCGCAATATTGGATTGTCACTAGTAGCTTTTAGTTGTGTTGTAAGGAAATCCATCTATAGGCAAGTTTTTAGCACTCCTCGTGTACTTTTATGAGATAGAATCCTCTCTTTTATTTTTTTTTTCTTTTGTTTTTTGGTTTTTGTGAACATTGTAGTAATTGTAATTGTGTTAGTACAAATGTGTACAAGTCAAAAAGAAGAATCATATAAAATAATTATAAAAAATATAAAAAAAAATTGGCCCTATCCCTAACTAACGTCAAAAAATCCACTGTTACTATTTAACATTAAAAATTAATAGAATGACCTCATATAGAATTCTTTGCTTAGTATGATTAGTGTGTATTGTGCTTATCAGTTCATAGTTTCATCGGTTTCTCTTTCTTTTTGCTTAACAAATAATATCCTGTAAAAATCGGATTTACCAAATTCGGATCTGACTGTACATCAGATTTGGCTTATCCAAATGTAAATCCATTTTTTTTTTGCGTAAAATATGAATTATATTCCATACCACCAAAATGTCATATGTACAAACATTTACACCAAAACATCAGTGCCTATGCAACAGGCTAATCAACTCACTCCCACACTAGCTATGCTATTACATCAATTCAAGATTGAGCAAAAAGTTCCTGTCTCTGGCCATGATCCCCCTTCCATGGCTCCAAATCCTCCACCTCATTTCTTTTTTGACCTCTTCCACAAGTAGCTCTGCTGGCCTGCATTTTCCTTCATGAACTTGCTGGTTCCTGCTATGCCAAATGTGGTAATACACTACCCCAATTATAGCAAATAGTACCTTTTGCTTTCCTGGCCTCCCCTTCCATATGAACAAGAGTTTGTTCCATCTCCTAGTCTGTACACATCCTCTTGGAAAGCTTATCCAACTTCTGATTCCTCCACACACTTCCTTGGCATTGCTGCATTGTGTAAATAAGTGTTCCTGCATTTCTGGTGAGTTGCCACAAAGAGGGCATAAATCATCGACAACAGTCATTCCAAGCTTCTTCAAGCAGTCTCTAGTAAGAATTCTGTTCTTCCAACTTAGCCAATAGATGAACCGGTGCTTTGGCACAGTATAAGGGCTCCAGATCATCCCAGCAACCCTCTGCTTCTCGCCTTTTGGTCTCAACCAGTTGTAGCCAGAGTCAGTTGTATATAATCCATTCTTCTGGACTGCCCAGCTGCTTCTATTGTATCCTCCCCTCAATGCATCCTTAACCCCTAATAGTTTCTTCCAGTGCCAACTAGATTCCATTACAGCCTCAACCTCCCAGAAATCATGTTTTCTCAGGTATACCCCATGGAGCCACTTAACCCACAGATTGTATTTCTTTTTTGAAATTTCCCATATTTGCTTCCCCATTGCCGCCTTATTCCAACATTCAATATTTCTAATTCCCAGACCTCCTTCCATTTTAGGGGAGCACACTTTCTGCCATGCGACTAACGAGAAAACCCTTCCATCACCTTTTTTTCTCCCACAAAAACTCTCGACATATTCTCTCCACTTGTGCTATTACACTTTTGGGGATAAGGTATACCAGCGCCCAGTATGTATGCATGTGCATCAGTACTGAGTTGATTAGCTTGATTCTCCCCACATACGACAAATGCCTAGTTGCCTAGCTCCTGATTCTACCCATCATTTTTTCCACCAACTCCTGATAGTCAGCCTGTGACCAAGTGCCAGGGACAGCGAAAACCCTAAATACTTCAACGGAAAAATACCCCTCTCAAATCCTACAATCCCCTCTATGCTATTCCTCCGTTCCTCCGTCACACCCCCAACATAAATTTGTGATTTTTTCAGGTTTGCATATAACCCGAAGGTATGTCCAAACTCCTCCAGTTTCCTCATGATATTACAAACAGTACCTTCTTCTGCTTTGCAGACAATAATTAAATCGTTTGCAAAGCACAGATTAACAAGTTGTAAGCTTTCACATTGTGGATGCAGCTCTATGGTTCCCTGCCTTATTTCTTCATCAAAAAGCCTAGTGAGATACTCCATGGTCATCACAAACAATAGTGGGGATATGGGGTCCCCCTGCCTAAGACCTCTTTTACCCCGAAAGTACCCAACCAGGTTACTATTTAAGTTCAATGAGAAAGAGCATGTAGTGATACACTGCAGATCCACTCCATGTACTTATTTGGAAAACCTAGATCCCCCAAAACTTCATACATGAATTCCCAATGTACGCTATCATACGCTTTGCATAAATCTACCTTTAATAGACATCTAGGAGATACTGCCTTCCTTCTATATAATCGCACAAGTTCTTGAGTAAGCAGAACATTATGCTTAAACGATCTACCCTTTACAAAAGCCCCCTGGTTTATACTAATCAACCTCGGCAACACCTTACTCAATCTATCACTTCGGATTTTTGTAATACATTTATAAAATACGTTGCAGCAGGAAATTGGCCTAAATTCACTAGCATCTTTTGGAGCTTTTCATTTAGGAATAAGCAAAATTAGGGTGCTGTTTACCTGTGACAGAAGCCTCCTGTTTGTTGCAAATTCTTTCACTGCCTCAATAACGTCCTCCCCAACTGTGTCCCAACAAGCTTTAAAGAACCCGCTTCCGTAGCCATCCGGACTCGGGCTTTTGTTTATATTCATGCTAAACAATGCCCCCTTGACCTCCTGCTGTGAAATCTCTGCACAACCTGATCTGATCTTCTATGGCCACTTTCGATCCCATGTCCAAAACAATATCCCTCGTCTTCTACCTTTCAACCTCAACCCCTAATAAATTTTTGTAGAACTAGACAAAGTGTTGCTCCACCAACCCCCAATCCTCCACCAGTGAACCATCGTATGCCTGATAAGACAAAATTCTGTTCCTGGCTTGCTTTTGTTTGACCATTGCATGGAAGAATGCAGTGTTGGCATCCCCCTGTTGGCACCACCTTTCCTTTAACCGTTGTTCCCTGAAGCTGATCACAGCTCTTCCATAATGACAGTATTCTTGAACAGCCTGCTTCTTCTCCTGTTGTAGTCCACAATCAGATGGATTTTCCTAGAGCTTGTTCTGAATATTTTCCAGTCTTTTTTGCGCTTCATAATATCTCCCCTCCACATCACTAAATTTTCTTTTGCTCAACTCCCTCAGAGCTAGTTTCAGTAATTTCAGCTTCTATACCAGCTGAAGCTGTTTTGTCCCATCTATCATCGTATCCCATTGCTCTGCCACAACTTTATGAAATTCATGTGCTTCGCTCCACATTTTAAAATATCTAAATGGTCTCTTCCCCTTTACATAATCTTGGTTCCATCTAACCACCAATGGGCAGTGGTCAGATATGCCCTCCGGTAACACTGTCACTACAACTTCTCAATGTTTCCTCCCCCATCCATCTGATCCCATCACTCTGTCTAGTTTACAGCACACCCTTTTTTTCTCCTATTTGTTTATTTGACCATGTAAAGACTTGTCCTTGGGACCTTAGTTCCTGCAACTGGCACACATCCATCATCCTCCTAAATTCCTCCATCTCCTGATATTTAAAAGATACGCCTCCCAGTTTCTCTTCCTCATATGCAATGCAGTTGAAATCACCCCCAACAAGCCATTCCTAATCACTAGCTTGCATTGCCATTAATTCCAACCACAATGTACTACGGTTCCCTTGGGAGTTTTTAGCGTATACCACAGTTACTAAGAACTCGTTCTTTTCCAGTCTATCCCTTGCTTTGCAATGAATAAACTATTCATGCACCCTTATCACATCTACCTCATACTCTTCAGCTTTCCACATTAGCAATATCCTACCTTTACCATTACCCTCTGCATTCTCAACGTACTCAAACCCCTTCCACCACTTCTTTATCATCTCCTTCGCCTTTTCTTTACTCATTTTGGACTCTACAATCCCTGCCAACCCTATTGTGACCCCTGATTAAATTGCCCAGTTCCTGATGTTTAAGAGGATGATTACATCCTCTCATATTCCAAAATGTGATATTCATATATTCGGATCCGGGTTTAGTGGTCCCCTCCCCCTCACTACTCTGATTTTCCCTCATTGTTCCAGAACCTTTTTGCCCACTCTCATTGCCACTGCTCCTGTCCCCTGTGCCTTGACTTACGTCCATGCCTTGTTGAGTACTAGACTTACCCCTTCTTCTTGCAACAGCTCCTACTCTGCCTTCTTTACTGGTTTGTCCAACGTCCCCTGATTCTCTCATCCTTATTTCTTTCCCTTTAACCCCTTGTTCCTTGTCATTTGCTTGACACCCTTCCATTTCACAGCTTTCATGTTCCTCTGTGGAGATTTTCTACGACCATGATGGGTTAGCAGGGCTTTTACACTCCCCTTTCTGATGTCCATAGCCACCACATTTAGTGCATTTCACCAGCTTCCACTCGTAAACCAGTTTCCGCTCCTGCAACTTGCCATCTTCATTAACAAACAAACCTTCTCCGGTACAGTCTCTTGTATTTCCATTTCCACCATAACTCTAGCAAATTCAGCTCTCATCTTGTTACTCGTCATTTCATCCATCTTCTTTGGTTTGCCAATTAGACTCAGCATTTTGCTAACTGTTTTGGCACCTCAGTACTTCAACTCCAAGTCAGGCAGTTGGACTTGGACTCATACAGGTACCCTGAGGATATTCTCATTCTTAAACCCATTCTTTGCATTCCATTCTTTCACCACTAGTGGTTTGCCAAAAAAGGGTTGATCAGACTCGAAAGCCATCTTCATCCCATGTTCAGACTTCATCTGAACTATGAAATACCCTTCCTCCCTGCGCAGGATTTTCTCTATTCCAAACTTTCCCCGTACCTTTTTATGTAGGAATCTACACATAATCAGGAACGGCAATTGAGTTCCAACAATGAAGCTGGTAATAGTGTTCTTCTAGTAATCTATCTCAGTCTCTACATCATTATATGTAGTGCGCACAAACTTCTGATTATCAATTTCACCAAGTTCTACATACTCCAAATCAGTGCTCCCTATCTTAAGTTTATCCAAATTAAACGAAGCCCATCCCTTATCCTCTGGTACCCTCCGTGTTTCCTGCTTCTGTCCTAGTTCTACACAGCCTTCACTCCCATCCCTCCCATTTACAATTCCTCGATTCACCATAGTATTAGAGGAGTCAATACTAACCTTTTGAGAGCCTTTGTTGTTTTCTGCATGAACCCCAATTTGACTCCTGCCGCCGGTACCACCACTGCTCCATCGCAATTCCCCTCTGTCCTCCCATCGCACCTCAATCTAGCCCTACTACTGGTCTCACCAAGATGATTCGTTGAATTATCACTCTCTTTGACACTCGATCTGGACGGTTCCTTCGTCACTGGCCCTCCTCTACCACGCCCTCGGGCCATCGCCGACGTAAATCCAGGGTTACACCAAGAGAGAAGGAGGAGAGTTCATGACGTTAGTGACTTTAGAGAGAGATAATTGCACCATATTTTTGTAAATCCGTTCTTTGCTCCTCCAATTTATGACAATTTCCTAACTCTACCAACCTAAAATTAATACCCTCGAATTACCTACGTCCGATAGTATTCCATAAATTTGTTTTTCTTTTTTTTTTTCAAATATTTCGCGCCAATATATTTCTTAATTTTTTTAATTTAATTACTGTCCGCGAATTTAGCAAATCCCAAGTTACTGTTTAACTTTTGACCGAGATCTTGTTTTTTTTTGCAATAATATTTTTTGATCATTTTAACGTAAAATGTATTTTCGGATTACACAACTCCGAAAATCTAATTTTTATTAGTGGTTCGGATTTCCCAAATCCGGAAAAACCACATTTTTCCACCTATTTATGGAAAAAACTATTTCCGTCCACATTTATTTTATAGAATTTTTTTATCCGAAAGAACCAAAAAAATGAATAAACTTAAATAGTCAAATTGAAGGTAAAACGACGTCGTTTTGGGAAAGGGGGTTTTGTGAAATAATAAATTTGCCAATTAGATAATTACAGATATTTCCTTAATTTAAAAAGAGTGAACCTCAAAACGGATCATTTGATGAGAATCATGTAGCCTTCCATGGTGATTCTCCTAGTGAGGGGAATGAACTAGTCCTTCATTCTAATTTTAGAATGCCAAGTTTACTTTGCAGGCCAATCAAGGAAGAAAGGATGGATCTTGACTACCTATGTGATAGGGAGTTGGTTCAAGAGAGCTACGATCAAGATGATGAGAATGTCATTAACTTTGGGGTTCAAACCAAAGGAGATGATGACCTCATGGAAATAAGTGCTCAAGAGTATCATGAGAGTTTGACTCTAGGTGCTCCATGAAGATCATTGATCAAGCTAGTGAGAAGAGTCATTTAGGTTCTTCAATGGACGGCCTATTTGATCAAAGTGTTTAAGATTGAGTCCATTGCTACACAATTGGATAGGTTGCAAACTATCTTAATTGTTTCAAGTGTTTTTCGAATCTTTTGGAGTCAATAAAGAGAATTCTACAAGTTCTGGAGTAAATTAGAGTTTTCTACAACTTAAGGGGCACAAGACCAATATTCCACTTTTGGAAGGGCGTTCAAGACATTTTACTTCAACAATTTGGAGCTGAATTTCGAGATTTAGTTGTTGTCTAAGTCTAGGAGTTATTTTCGAGTTTTATCTAGTTAGATAAGCCATGTGGGCTGAATAAAACTAGAGTGTTTTGATTAGGAGTCTTAGATTCCTTCTAGATATTATTCTACTTGAGGATAAATCATTTAGATAAGGTTTCCTAGATTTTAGATAGAGTCAAAGAGATCAAATACTCTTCTACTTTTACTCCTTGTGAGATAAGATTAGAGAGTCCTAATTGATCTTCTTCTTTAGGTGCTGTCCGAAATTATAAGCCTATAAATAGGGGGCTTGGCCGAAATTTCAAAGCACACTTGAGTGGTCATTTTTGTTGTCTCATTTGAGAGTTTTTCCTGTGAGGAATTTTTGTTAAATGGAGTGTCCATTTTTCATGTCAAGTATGATTTAACCAAGAGGGTTTTCATCTTGTCTTGGATCTTTTTGATCTTGCAGAAATCGTTCTTTTTTCAAGTATGCTTCTTGATAGAATTGTTTTAAAACAAAACTTCTTATTTTCATGCTACTTCTAGTAGTTCGATTGATGAGCCTTACTTTTGGCTTGGTGTTCAAATTTCATGATGAGTGTGTTCATGAGTTCCATTGTGGGGTTTGTCATACTTTTGTTGGATGAGTTGTGCTTTGGCATAAGCATTTTGAGATAGTGTATGTGTTGCATATCTTTGGTTGGTTATGAAGATTACTAATCAATAGTATTCCTTCATAGTTGAGCATTGTTTGCTCCTACCTTTCTTGAGTCTCTTGAATGATGACTGATCGAGTATATTGAATGGTGTCCTTGCTATTCTTAGCGTGGATTGTTGTTTAATTCGAATCTTTCATGGATAATGTGTTCTTTGCTTCGTTTGAGTTAAGAGATTGAATCACTTAGATAAACGATCGTCTTACTGTGAATTTTCCGCACTCTTTTGAGTTTCACAGGATAGACAAAATTATCTTCGTACTTTCTTGTTGATGGCTGCATTAACGAAATTTGCTTCATCTACGAGATTGCTATCATCATTGAACTATTAGGTAATTCTTATACAGGTTATCAATCAAATTTATTTGTATAACAGGTCACCTTACTAAGCAAAAAATTCATCCGAGATCATTATGTTAATTTTGGCCGTTAAATAGTGACGGAAATATATTTTTCACATACTTTTAGGTTCAGGGGTATTTTGATCATTTTATTAATTTAAATTATTATTTCTTTTAAAACATTTATTTTTTTTAATTTTTTTTTAACAATTCTTCTTCTTATACTTCCTAACTTATATATGCTGGTATTATAATTCTAAATTTCAAACATTCATTTTACTTTTGTATTTTAACTTCTAGATTATAAAATTATAAAAAAAAATTTAAGAAATGAAGAAGAAAAAATTCAAGTTAAAGTAAACATGAAAATTAATAGTTTACCATTTTAAACTAAAAGAAAAACCAAAAGAATTAGCTAAGACAAGTTGTTTCTTCTAGGTTATTTAATTATTTTCAACTCAATTTAATCATTTAATTATTAATTTTCACGTTTACTTCAATTTGAATTTCTCTTCTTTATTTTTTTTTATAAACTAGAAGTTAAAATACAAATGAAAAATTAATTTTTGAAATTTAATAATGATACTAGTACTAGCATATACAAGTTAGGAAGCAAAAGAAGAAGAATCATAAAAAAATTAATTAAAATATTAATATTTAATATATAAATGAAATTGCCCATGGATCCAAAAAGCAGGTGAAAAATAGCTTTATGTCACGATTTAAATCTCAGAATAACCTAGGGGAAACAACTTCTCTTAGTTGAAAGCTATTTTGAATGTTAAATCGTGACATAAAATTATTTTTCACATGATTTTGGGTCCAGGAGTAATTTCATAATTCAGTACTTTTCTTTAAATGTATTAATATTTTAATTTTTTAAAACAATTTTTCTTCTTTTTTACTTCCTAACTTGTATATGTTGATATTATAATAATTATTAAATTTCAAAAATGAATATGTCATTTGTATTTTAACTTGTAGTTTATAAAAACGTAAAGAAGAAAAATTCAAATTGAAGTAAACGTGAAAATTAATAATTAAATGAATAAATCGAGTTGAAAATAATTAAATAACCTAGAAGAAACAACTTGTTTTAGCTAATTTTTTAGTTTCTTTTTTGATTTAAAACGATAAATTATTATTTTTTTATGTTTATTTCAACTCGAATTCTTCTTCTTCTTCTTCATTTTTCTAATTTTCTTTTAAAACATTTATAATCTAGAAGTTAAAATACAAAATTTAAATTAATTTTTGAAATTTAAAAATTATACTACCAGCATATACAAGATAGGAAGTATAAGAAGAAAAATTGTAAAAAAAAAAAAAAAACTTTTTCAAAAAAAATAAAAATTTAAAAATAACAAAATGACAAAAATACCCCTGAACTCAAAAGGATGTGGAAAACAGATTTCCGTCATTATTTAACGGCCAAAATTAACAGAATGATCTCGAATGAATTTTTCGCTTAGTAAGATGACTTGTTATACAAATAAATTTAATTGATAACCTGTATTAGAATTAACTAATAGTTCAATGACCCGTTTGAGGTTCACTCATTTTAAAAAAATGATGTAAGGCTTATGTCATAGAAAGACCATCCGGCCTATCGTATTTGGGGAATTTTTTTGCTCAGCCAATCATATTTTAAAGAATTGTTTTAGCTAGACAGACTTTTATCTTATGCTATAGATAAGGACAAGTAGAGAAGGTGTACAGAGCAGGATTGATACAATACTTACTCAATTATGATTAGGTTGGTTGTCCGTATGATTTTTTCTTGCCCAAAAATTTGGTATCATATACTTATTCATGCATGATTAGTTTTTCCAAAATTGAGATTTGAGTTTTTTTTATGTGCTAGACGATATTACCAACGTGATAATTAGCTGCGATAACAAATTATCCTAGTTTTACCAAGAATACTTTTAGTCAAGTCAAAAGTTGATTTTCCTTCCTCAGCCTATATCGTCTTGCTTCAAGTATTTTCAATTTCTCTACAGCAAACCAAAACTCACTAATTACGTCTTCCTTCCACAGATCCTCCTTCCACAAATAAGGATTCCACCATCACCAATTAATTCAATTCCATATCATCAAACAACGAAAATTCTGTACTTTTGTCTTTTTTTTTTTCCAATTAAAATCCAAGTATAAATGGAAATCAAGATATCAAAAAACTAAAAGAAGAAACTTCACTCTGATTCAGTCAATTCAATAATTCTATTCAAGAGTCAAGTATCCAACTTTTCCTTCACTAAAATATGAAAGCAACAACGAAATTTGAAGTACTTCCTTTGGTCCTTATTAGAATATATTTTGAGTCGTATGTTTTATTTAGTATGTTCTTTCAATTGAAAAGTTAATGTAAATTATTTTTTAAAGTCAAAGGTAAGCCTTTTCCAGAACGGGTGACATTACACTATAGGGCCATAGCTTCTTTAAACTTATACAATGAAGAAAAGATCATTTTTTTTTATATAAAAAAATGGACATGTAACTAGCTAAACTAAAATAATTTTTGTACAAACGTCAACTAATTTAATGTGTATGATTAACGTTATTGAATGTGTATGATTAATTAGTCTAGATGCACAAATATCATATGAATTGTGGCTGCAACATTCTAGCTACATGAGATTTGATGGTAAGTACCAACAATAAAATAGCCTAGCTAGATCAAACCCCTTAACCTATCTATAAATTAAACTATATATCGAAAAAGCAAAAAAAAAAAAAAAAAAGAAAAAAGAAAAAGAAAAGCTATAAATTGATGTGATGTTGATGATTACTTTAGACGACACAGCCAGAAGGAACTTGTTTTCCATAAGCAACACCATAGACATTGAAACAAGATGCTAATGAAGGTCCTCCAATGGGGCCTTCATAAGCCAAGTCTATGTTCACAAACTTCACATTTTGGCATGGCTTCACGTTGCTGCACTGCAAATTTACAGCAATTTTCGAACTTGACGTTCCCCGTATGTTTCTAAATGTCACATTTCTGATCTCAACTTGAGATTGTGATGATCCAATCTGCATCCAAAAAAAAAAAAAAATTAAAACAACAACATACCAACATATTTCAAATTTCGTTCCCGATTAAAAAAAAAAAGAAAAAAAAAACACAATGAAACGTAAGAATGAGATTTGTGTAAATTTTCGTTTTTAATACAACTTGTATTAAATGAAAATATATGCCCGGCGATCATTTTTGGTCCGTCAGAAAATAAATTCTTCAAGAAAGTAAGTCATACCTTGCGGTTCCCACAGAAAGGGCAATAGTCCTGATCAATGAAAATGGGATTGTTCACATTCTCCATTTTGATATCTTCAAAGCTCACATCCGCAACCAAAACATATTCAGAAGGGGACCAAGTTTTGATCCTGGCGCCATTTTGGGTACCTAAAAAGGTGCAATTCATGACGCGGACCCCTCTTACGGGGTCTTTCCAGTGTCCCCTGCCAATGCTACCTATACTTATCCCGTGACCTGGTCCGCAAACAACTTCTTTAATACCGATTTCTTCACTGCCGGAGAGCAGTGCGATGCAGTCATCTCCCGTATGGATCATCGATCTCGAGACCCAAATGTTTTTCGAGCGGGCGATTTTAATTCCGTCTGTGTTATGCCCCTCGTTTGGAGTGGTTAACTTTAGGAAGCTGATGTTTAGGTTGGTTGATCCAAACACACTGATATGCTCGATCTTACTATTGACTGATCTAAGGTATTTAATTTTCGAGTTGTGTACGAAGTCCAACCTCAATGTCTGATTAAGATTGAAAACAAAACGGAACATGATGAAGCAACTGGAAAAATATAGAGCTCACAATTTAGCACATGAACCAAAAAATACATATTGGTATGTTATTATATTGAATGTTATAACTTAGCCATATTGATTCTGCTGTTCCAGTATGAATTTTTCAGTTAGAGCAGGATAAAACTTAAGGTGAATTCTTATCAATAATAATAAGAATACTACTACTACTACTACTACTACTACTACTATTACTACTAATAATAATAATAAACTTAGGCATTTTTTAGTACTCCTCTGTCCCGAAATTATTGTGAAGTTTAGATCTTCATTTTTAGTTTAAATTATACCAAAAGTGAAAATCAAAATTGGACAACTATTTTAAGACAAAAGAAGTACAATAAAATAATTTTACTCACATTTTGAAGCTTCTATCACTATACATAAAATAAGTGCTATCTACATTAAGGCAGTAATTTTTTTTTTTTCTAATTTTTTGTTTGTGTAATATGGTACATTGTTGTTTTACTTAAAAAATAAGACGACGGATGATATTGCTAGAACTATAAACAAATACAAAGCAACAAAAATGGTTCTCATCATAACTACCCCACATCCGTAATCAGTCAATAAGTTTGGTTTTTTGAAACAACACAAATTTCAAAACAACATTTTAAGGGAACCATCACCAACACATGACTTTTATGATTCTGAAAACAGCTTAATCTAGTAAAGAAACCCTATCGAGCAATTAGAAACCAAGTAAATATTTCTTTAACCTCATATTTTGATTTGGTTTTGTCTAACCGAAAAGGCTAGGATCCTTTAGAAAAGAGAATCATAATTTACTTTGCACCAAAAAAAAAAAAAAAGAGAATCATAATTTACTCTCGATACTGTTTTTTTGCTCTATAGACCAAATATATTGTGAATGTGGGTTTACACTTTACAGTACTCCATTTAAGTAGGGTAAGTGATTAATTGAAACTTTTTTATTTTGATCATGTGTAATTCTGTTCTAGACAAAATATACGTTTTTTCTATCAACTCACACTCTGATACTCTAAACTGGATTTTTTGTGGATGAATATTAGTTACAATATGGGAACCAATACATTTCCTATATGTATTCCCTATAAATGCATTTAACTCTTTAAAAAAAAAAAAACTATACACCCTAATTTAAGTTTGAAAGCATCAACTACATCCTCTACAATGTATTCAATTACACCGAAATAATTGCCATGGAATCAAAATACTTGTAGTACGTCCTCTTACAATAATAATTCACATTTTACCAAACTACCATTGTGTATATATATATTGAAGGAAAATCAAAATAGAATATTTTCTCAAGGACGAATAGAATAGTAATAAAAATAGGTTGAAAAGATGTAAAAACGTTTGTACTCACAGTTGGGAGCCGATAACAATTACGTTTGAAGCCACAATTGTTATATTTCCAAGCAGATTTGCCTCTTCCATCCAAAACTCCACCTCCTTTCACAGTCAAGTTATCAAGGTATTTAAATCCAATCCAAGTGTCATAATTGAGAAACAAAGCAGGATTTGTAGGAGCTAAAAGAGTTCCTTTGATCAGAAATGACATTGCCCCTTTGCATGGACCGGCAAAAGTCACCGAGTTCATTTCGTACGTCCCTTTTGGAATTAGGATTCTACTCTTCCCTTCATATTCACACCCATCTTTCCACGCTCTCAAAAATGCCTTCATGACCCCCCAAAAAAAAAGAAAAGAAAATCACCAAATTCGTATTCTTAATTATATAAAACATGAAATGTAGCACCCATATGGCAAATATCTCAAGGTTTTGGGCACAAAAAATTACTACCTTCGTCCCACAAAAATAGTCCACATTAAGTTTTGAGTTTTATACTATTTTTAGTACAAAACTCAAAACTCAATATGAACTATTTTTATGGGACGGAGTGAGTACTGCATTATACTAGTATTAATGAATACAAAAACTTTAGCATTCGTTACAAATCGAACAATTGAGTAACTATTTTCCGGTCTCTTGATTGGCCAAATTCAAAACAAAATGTTGAACAATAGTGGTTTATTTCATTAACTGAATGTTTTCTTTAGCTCTAAGATTCGACGTCTTTATAACAGTACTTCAAGTTAAGATTCCAAACGTAATTCGCTAACCAAAAAAAAAAAAAACAAAAAACAAAAAACTTGTTCTATCACGATTTGTTTTTACTTTTTTTTTTTACCCCCACTACTCGAAGAAGGGTGTTATAAGAGATTAAGAAAAAATCCTTTTAAAGACATTTAATTGAAAATGTCAACATAAATCACTTTCTTAATGGCATTAGGATATTGAGGCATTTTCCTAAAGAAATATATCACATAATCCCACTAATTTCGGTCATTTAAAAAAAAAAACAAAAGGAAAAGAAGATTCATATTTTGAGGCCAAGACTTATCAAGATCTTTTTTTTTTTTTTAAAGGACTTATCAAGATCTTATTTTTATTTTGCTAATTTTTTAAGTTTTAATTTTTGTTAGTGGTTCAGTTTTATCTTCTTCCTTGAACTAACTTCTGATTCTCACGGATTCTTCAATCAAAGAAGTTTTCAATCCTCACGGCCACCACTTTTCTTAAGTCCCGTAGTACTAAGCATATCTTCCTCAGTCGAGAGAATTAGTCAGAATGCAAACCATTGATTTGAAGACTGAAATTACCATTAAACAATTTTCTTTCCATCCAATCTTGAGGCACAATACAACATATATCCAAAGAAATTTGGCTTCAGAGGAAAGCAGGTAATCTTGCCTTTCTTTTTCCTAGTTTCTCTTTGGTTCTGAATGATATACACTTTTTTTTTTTGCCCGGATGTAGATGGGAGATGGTAATTCAAGAAGAGTGTTATTCTTGCACTACTTGGAGACCTCTTTACGTGTTGGCTGTCGTATTTGTCATGATTTATTGACTAATTGGTAAGCAACTCCTTTTAATGGTATATTATGCCCATAAGTCATTTAGGAATATGAATTTATTTGGTGGTCATATTTCATTGTCTCTAGTATGATTAAGTTTCATTTTTCTTCTTTTTTTTTTGGTTGCCTAATCTTCTCTTTTTTTCTAAACATTTTTTTACAGAATAAAAATTCGTAATTTTTTGTGTTCAAATGAATTGTGGTGGGAGAAGATAAATGCAAGAGATTCAAGAAACAATTCAGCTATGGCAAAATTGAAGTTGATGAATGTTGAGGAGGTTAGATGTATGCAATATACAGTGAAGAGAAAATCAGAAAATTTGCAGTCCCATTAAAGATCTAGGTGTACTACTGTAGAAGATTGTTTAGTTAATTGATTAAGGGCTAGGTGTATTAATGTAGGTTATCCCCCCTTTTTTGTTATTTTACGTTTGGCTTGTACTTTCTTCAGTATTTATTAATACAATAATGAAATTTATTTTATTTGAGAATATTTTAGAGTTTATGAAATTATTTATTTATTAATAAAAAAATTGATGCAGTTGAAAAGCTAATTAATGACATTATAGTTAGTTTGTCAAGGGACATAAAAGGCCTGAAAGATTATCTAACAAGGCAGTTTAAAGTGCCTTAAGAGATCATATGTTACGATACTTGGTAATTTCTTCAAAGAATATATATACACTACACTTATTATCATATTGAATTTAAAAGAGACTTTTTATTAGAATGCCTTAATAGAAGAAAACACTAAATTGTGTAGATATATCTACAACTTGGGGTGCTATATTCAAACACTACAATAAGTTGAAATTAATTTGTTTTGCTTATTTATCTTGATATTTCATATTTTTTCACCACATCAATAAGTTGAAAATTGTGGAACTTTCCTTCATTCCTTTTAGAAAAGCCCGATCATCACTGTTTGTTGCCTTCCATTTCGTCGGCTAAATAGACGGGATACAATACCAATCAATCTTTCCTATAATTAATTTCCCAGCATACTCGTTTCCTGTTTACGATTGTTTCTATTTTCTTTGCAAGATATACACAGGAAATTTCAGATAATTCGGATTTTGAATTTTTTTAAAGTGGGAGAAAGAAAATTGAATTCTCCTTCTTTAATAGCTTTCCATTTCTCTCCTTTTTTTCCCCTTTAATCTGATTAATGGCTGTGGTGTTTTTTATTTGACAAGAAGAAGATTATATAGAGGGAAACATTTAATTTGTAAAGATAAAAAAATTAAAATTAAAGAGTTTATTTTTTAAAAGACATAATTTTGTAAAAAGTCAAAAAAAAAAAAACCCCCTCAAGCCTTTCCATGTGAATGTCACATAAAAATTGACTGAAACCTAACGATGTGGCCACAAAACATAGGCAATCAAGATAAATGAGCAAAACGAATTTATTTGAACTTGTGGTGGTCTCTGAATATAGCACCTAAGTTATAGTTTCGCTAATACTCCATGTATGAAGTAATTATTGAGTGCCACTATAAGCCACTTTTTCTAATAATGGCGAAAAAAAAAAAATTCTAAATTTGATGGCTCGAAATCTCGAACTATCAAATTATTGATAATAACAATTCTCACTCAAATAAAACCCTAACAATTCCACCAAACCCGATCAACTATACACTCCAAATAAAATACTTTAAAAAAAAGTTTGATAACTATATGCACGAGTAAAGAAGGGTTCAAGTAAATATGTTCGAATTCCGGAAGCTACAATCATCCAAAAGTATTAAATAAATAATATTGTTGATGCACATTAGAAACAAACCTGACTGTTGTCAGAGAATCCACCGGGTCTAGCGCCATAGTTGATGACATTAAACACTTTTGGAGGCAATCCAGTAGCAAAAGCATCACAGTTGTAGCAAAAAAAGCAGATCCACCACAAGAGCAAAATCATACGATTAGAGACTGAAGACATTTTTCCTTTCTTTCTTTTGTTTGTATTCTTAATTTCTCTTCTAAGAGCAAAACAAAAGAAAATGAATGTCCTTTAGAAATTCTCTTTTAGAGTGCATACACCATGTTTTTATATATACATCGTGCTGTAGTAATTTTTTTTTTTTTTTTTATCATTTACAATTTTATATCTTTTCCATATCCAAAATATGGCCCCCTAATTACCAAGGGATTCTGAATATCTCCTTACCCTTTTTTTCAGAGTTTTTTTTTTCTTAAATAACCGTGATTCATAAACTATGTCCTTAAATAACTCAAACGGAAATAGTATTCCTTCATTAATTTAATAACTCAAACATAAACATTTTTCCTTCATTAAATTTTCCTTTGCGAAAAGTCAAATCTTTTCATTCTATGATTAATTAGGAATCACTCTATTCTCCCATAATCGTGCCTTCTCCGCTTCTCGTTCCACCTCATCCCACCATCAGTAATACCGTAAATGGCTTATGATTTCTTTTGTAGTATTATTAATCTTAAAAATTGAAGAAATTTCAACAACCTAACCGCAAAGTCATAAATTGGCATCAAATTGTTTTGTTTTATTTTTTAAATCTCTAAAGTACAATCAATAACTCAATTAAGCAGACGAAATTCAACCAAAATTTGCACTGAGAAAATTGTGACACCAACAACGACAAATTAATCTATATCTCTATTTATTAAAGGAGAATTTAGTGACCACATCTCTTCATCATTTAGTGATAATTTTTTATTTGTAAATTTATAGATAATAAATTTTACCATATTTACTTTTTTAATTAAAACCTCCAAATTTTTCAAAATTAACGTAATTATGGAAAATATCAAGCTTCCCATATGATTCATTTTTACCCGATTATTTAAGCAAGTTGTTTTACTTTGTCTATTTAACCTTTACTACTCAATAAGATACTCTCACTAATATGAATTACTTGATAAAATTAATTAACATTTGAAGTGAACTGTGGTCAATTTACATTGGTAGTAAAACATCCACAATTCTCGCATGCACACTCGCTTTTTTTTTTTGAAAAAAAAAGTGAATCCAAAACTACATAATGATATAGGTTAATGTACCGAATCGCCCATTAGGGGAAAAAACATGCTAGATTGTAAAGAACTCAGCGTCATGTTAAACCAAAAACCATGTTAATTAAAAATAGGACTCTTTTAATGAAAGTCATTCACATCTTAAGTATTCAACATCGTATGCTCGCGAAGGTATTCAGCACCAAAAGTAACAAGTTTCACTTAGAATTATTTTTTTCCTAAGAAAATAATACTCATCCTTATCCCTATTCTTATAAATCCACATTTAAATATATTTCAATGATAAACTAATATTTTGATTGGACGAGGGACTCCCGATGACATCAGCAATTTTAAAAAGGAGTAAAACAGTTAATAAATAACACAAAATTTTCACAAAAAAAAAAAAATTTAAATCACGAACACCAAAACAACAACGTCGTTTCGATGACTTCAGCAATTTGAAACGCCAATGACGTCGTTTTTTAAACGACGCTGTTTTGATGCCCCAATTGACTACAAAACTCGGAATCATTTTGACTTTTCCCATCCTCCGCGGTCCTCCAAAGTCATCCACCCGTCGTTTTTTCCACCGACTCTACGCCGCCTAATCTTGGGTTGATGGCCGTTCTTCACCCTCGCCGACGTCCACTGCTGGAGACTTCACCATCTCTGCCTTGTCGGTCTTCACCGGAAATAAGGATACTAAATAAGGATTAGGGCGGCTACAATAGCAATCCCGATTTGTACGAGGATTTGGATTAGGGCGGCTGCAATTCATTCCCGTTTGTGTCACTAAATTAATTCCTGGTGGTGAAGTCGGACACTAAGGGTTTGGAGGTGGTGCCGGAAGTGGGTTTGGCGGTGCTGCTGGGGGTTGTGTCACGGTGGACTTGAGGCAGGCTTCGATGGTCGGGTAATTGTCGGAGGCACTAAAGGTGGCGGAGGTTGGGGTAGTTGTAGGCGGTGTTGATCAAGGACAGAGAGGAATGCTGCTGTTTGGTGGCGGAAGCTATTCATCATTATTAGGATTTGCTGTTTCTCAGCACCAACATTAGTGTTCTCTCCTGTCGTCAGTGGCCGGCTCTAAATAGCTCTGCAATTTGGATTTTTTGAACGAATGATACTATTCTAGGATGTTTATTCGTTGTTAGGAAGACACTATTTTTCTGGCCATCATCTTATAGCAAACTCCTTCCCACTGAAACCGCATTCAAGGTAAATTACCGTGATTATGCATTTACTTGAACTGTTCGCGATATCTTTTTTTTCATTGCGAAGAAAATGCCGTTTTCTTCAATCATTAGTAAATGTCTGAGGTTTTTATTTTGGTTCTTGTTGATATAGATTACGACAATTAGATATTAAATGAGATGCTTGGTTCTCAAAGCGCTTGAATTTTTGAAGTTTTATTTTGTATGTCTGTCTAGCAAAACCATGTTCATTATACTCTCAAAGGCTTTAGTATCTCCTAGGTCTAGAAGAGTAGTGTAGCTTCATTGCTTTGCAAGTACGAGTACAAAAACTCCACAATTCAAACTCTCTAAACATGAGCTTGTCAGTTCATCTCTATTTCTTGCTCTGTACCATCTCATCATTTTTCAAAACAAATTGACGGAGTTATTATACTACTACTAACATGCACTGATTTTTTGTTTTTAATTGATATTTCTCGATGCATTATTGTGTATCAAAATTTTTGTTGGCAGTAGAATTTATCAAGCTGGAAAATTTACCGGAACAAAATTATAATCGGTTGAAATGGACTCCCACATCATGGTAGCACATTTTAAAGTTGTCATATCCAGGATCTTCCAATGGGGAACAACCTTATTACCATCAGGATTTCCGGTGCTCTAAATAGTATCATACGTTAGGTTACAACTAGGAAATTTGTTATTACAGTTGATACTTCCGATGAGGAAATATTTCATTCGTGACCATGTCTTTAAATACCGGGATGTGTCATTCTGAAGCTTTCAAGTCACGCATCTTTGCTGCAATTTGCATGATGATGAATGTTTGTGAAAGTTGTGATCAAGCTCTTTCATCGCTATGCTATAGATGTTAAACTTTATCTTCAGCTAACTATTTTTCTGTTTGTGTCGTTTTGGTGGGCTTTAGTGAATTATTTGTTTCTTAATTCAGGTTAATGGTGCTTATTATTGACAAGTCGGTGCATACTAACAACCTGTGATGGATGATTTTGTTTTCTGTTTTTTTCCCCTTTTTGCAAGTCCTTATATGTAATAAGTTTCTTGCTTCATATTCATCATCTTCTCAGGTTCAATTCTGGAAAATTAGATGACTTTCTCTCTCCTGAATGAACTTTCGTTTTTGTTAAGTGCATTTTTCACTCAGCAACCTACTGCACTCCAATTATAGTGTTCTACCCAGTGGTAATTCCCTAGACACTGCAGCTTGCCATCTTGGTTAATGGAAGAATTACACAATCCCAGTCTTTGCCAGAAAATTTTAGAAATTGGCTTCGCTGGATGATTACATTACATCTGTAAGCAACTTACTTCACGATACATTCACACATTTATTTGCTAAGTTATTGATCAATAAATAAGATCATGATGCATACAACCTATAATCTCCGAATTGTAAACTTAGTTGTTAAGAAGTTCTAATAATGCTGTGAATATTATTATTGGGTCTTGTAACAAGAAATGCGAACTTAATAAATCAACATGTGTTCGTTTCTTCGGCAATTTGAAGGCATGGGTTGCAATTTATTGAAAATGTGGACTTCAAGGTTTGCAGAGGAAACAATAGATGTAATTTTGTTGGTTTTGTTGTGGATATATGGGTTTGATTAAGGGCTTTTTCTTACTTTGGGGCTAATGTAGTTAACCTAATTCCTAAAATTAAAGAAGCATGAGTGATCGACAAGGTTCGAAATCTTGAACTTCGGCAACTAGGAAGCACGAGTGGTCACACAAGCTTTTGGTGTCTCATCTATCTGATGATTGCATTTGATCATTGATGACTCATTTGATGGTATATTAGGGTGCTTGACTTTTGGGTGAGTCAGACCCAAAATTGTGGACCAAAAAATGTGTAGGGTTTAAAAACTGGACAAATATAATTTTCTTGCGCTTTCAAAACGCGAAACAAGAAAATTAAATTAACAATTCGCGTTTGTGAAACGCGAATCTTTTTAATTATCTTTTCCCCAAATTCAACCGGGACGGAAGAAAAAAAAATTGAATTAAAAAAGGAAAACCATTTTTGGCGTTTTGGAAACGTGAAAAATCTAATTCGCGTTTCAGAAACGCGAAAAAAAAATTTCGCGTTTTAAAAATGCAAAAAGCTATAAATTTTAAATTTTAAATAAATTGCGGGTTGAAAATAACAATTTAGCGTTTTGAAAACGCGAAATTTTTTTTAGATAATAATAACCTGGTAAGCTATCATGTAATGACGTAACTTCGCCGTAGCCCATACCGATGCCAAGCAAGTCTTCTCAAGACAACTTTCTTATAAAACACTACTAAGATCTTCTTTCTTGCGCATTGTCCGCTTAGTGTTTTACAGTAGCAACATGTTCATTCCTCGAAAACTGGCGTGCCGGGTTAGAAAGTTATTCCAACTTCGCTGTAATTGCAACTTCTGGGTCAACCTTTTTGGCTTGGCAGAGATGGAATTAGCACCGGCTCCGAATTTTATGGAGGATGCTAGATGAAATATCTGTTGATGTACAGGAACCTTGGCTTGTTTTTGGTGATTTTAATGCCATTACAGATGAAGGTGACAAGGTTGGGGGTAGAAAATCCAAAGGGTGTAGATGGTGGTTCAGAGAATGGATTCAAAATTCGAAAAATGATTTTAGCGTTTTAAAAACGCGAAAATATCCAGAAAATCTCCTCAACCACTCATTTGGCTGCACGTGTATTTTGATGATAAGTCTTGAACGTATTCGCGTTTTGTAAACGCGAAATTTAA